GGAGAAACAGAATAAACTAGACTTCTGAAATGCTTTTAGAGAAATCTAAAATTCCACAGTTCTATCGATTGAAAGTTGAAAATTAAGAAGCTAAGGAATTCCACAAGAGGAAAAGTATCCTCAATACTAGTATCCTAGCATTTTTGTTGGAAACAAAAATAGTAGTCCAAGCAACTGTGAGACACATTCGTTACTCACAGCACTGCGACTACAGATCCAAGGTACTGTAGCTACTATTTTAACAATTACTTTAATTACCATTACCAACTTAAAAAAAAAAATCTCACTTTGACAGCGAGCAGTCAGTCACTATTGTGGCACAAACCACCTACCCACAGAGTGTATCTCCAAATCAGATGCTGGGATCTGTCTCTCAGAATTACACCTGCCAGACGACTTACCAACAATGTCCATAGAATTGACGCCTGGTTAAAAGCAAAAATCAGTCCAGAAAACAGAAAAATATACTACTACTGCCATCTGTGGTTTATGGTTGAATAGCTTTTCTGCTGTCAACAAATTTAAGGGTTCAGAGCTTGCAATGAGGATGCAAAGATATTTTTGAAAATAATTTTCAAAGTTAATTCTTAATAACAAAGTTATAGCATCTACTTGTATGAAACATAAGAATTTATAATTTCTTAATCTGGGATTATATAATGCTACAGGAAAAAACACGAACTACCTTGAAAAAAAATGTTTCCATAGTACAAAGACTACCTTCTGAATTTTTTTTTTAAAAAACTGTATTTTTTTAAGCAATCTGAAAATTATTTTTCTCTTAGACATAATAGTAAAGCCAGCTTGCTTCCAACATGTTAAAAATTTGAAATACAATTATTCCTTTAAGAACAAAAGCTGGAAAATGCAAATTAAGCTCAAGTAGGCTATTTTCCCCACTTATTTTCTCTCAATTTGCTTTCTCAAATGACAACCATGGTAGTAGCATGGGGATCAAACGATTCGGTGCAGCTGGGGGTGGGGAAAAAAGCAATTCAGCTCCCAAGCAGCCAGCTGAGGAAATCCTGGTCCTCCCAAGCTAAATCATTGTTAATTAGAATTGCTGGGTACACTAGAAGTCTTATTAAAATAATTTAAATAACTAACCCCCAGAATCCAATCTGTTTTCTTCAGAAACTGTTCTAGAAAGGATGTTGTTTAACAGGTCACGAGAACAAACAAAATACGCAAGAAATATTTCATTCCAATAAACTATGCCTACTTATTTCTAAACAATGGATATCTCACAATGTTACAGGTTTGGGTGTTGGTTTTTTTCTCTTCTAATTTTCCATAAGTTACAATCAAAGCCCCTAAACTATGGTGTAAACATTGGGAAACAAAAAGACTGGGGTTAATTTTAAGAATATTGTACAGCAACATTACACCCAGAGATGTTTCTAAAATGTACAATTAAAATGAATCTAAAACTTCAGCTATAAAAACCTCTATATCCAAACAAAATTTCCTGGTTCAGTATCAAGCTCCTTAACAACTTAATAATTCTGACATCTCTGAATCCCACTTATCAAACAGAGACATCATAAGTGTTCAAGGAATTACCTGAACCAGGAAAACATTTAATAAGAAAAAAAATTTTTTTTAATTATTCTTAAGTTGACCTCAAGAATACAAAATTTGAAAGCAAACACTTTCCTTCACAATTTCTCTGGTTTGGAGAAACTATTACTACCCATGTGGACACATTAGGAAGCTATCTGGTTATCTGTAGAAAGAGCTTTCTCTAATTCTGAGTCTTTTCCACAAATAAGATGACTACAATCTGGTTTTTACATACAAATAAGTCATTTGATTCTTCTATTTAAAGTTTTTTAACAACTGTACTAAAATTAATATTTTCTACCTTTGCCCACAAGTCCAGGGGTAAATCAAGAAATACTAATATATGTGTGAGCAATGTTTTGAAAATCTGCCAGCATTTCTTTCATTAACTTCCCTTCTCATGCCTTTTGTGTACTTGCACAAGCACAAAACTTTTCTGCTACAAAATACAGAATCAGATTAGTAATCTCGATAGGCTCATGCTCTGCAAGGAGGAGGCACAGCAGCATTTGGTGAGTGGGACATCCAAGATAGAAAGTGTGGCCATTTAACACCTCAGATTTCTCAAGGAAACCAGAGAATTCTCTAAGATGATTCAGAATTGAGTTTTCAAAGTCCCTGAACTAAAAAGTTAAATTTGTGACATAAACTACTTGTTAATTTAAGAAATAAGCATTTTGTTGGTAAACTCCTATGGAGGGAAGCACACAGTATTTAGTGAACTCATTTCCTGCAAAGTATAATAATGTGAAATATGCTTTTAATTCTTTATAATGGCTTATAGCCAGCCTTCTTTTGCTTTAAATACTTAAAAATCTATACCCTCACCCTCTTGAAATAAAATGAACAAATGCCCCCTCAAATCATTCATCTTCCTTTGAAATCCCAAAAGGGAGCAATCACTATTAAAACTAAATGAGTTTGTTTGTTATGAAAACCACAAGCAACAGCCGAAAATAGCAGAGTCAGCACAAGGGAATCCTGGAAGGGTGACGGTGCATCAAAAGGCTAGCAAGTCTGTTCTGATGGAATCATAAGAACATCTGGAGGACTGTAAACTCAGCATCAATGGACTTTACTTCTTCACAGCACAGACCAAAGGCCTTCTCTCTAGATAACGACCTCACGAAAAATGGAAATGTCACCAGGATGGATCGTTAAAGAAGTACTTTTCTCCGCAGAAATCAAACAATTTCATTTATCTTTGGAGAAAAATATTCATTAGGAAGGAAGGAAGAAAAAGAGTCCCACTATTCCAAAGGCAATTTTTTCCTATGTTTTGAAAATTCTTCTGGGCACTTCTTGGGCACTAATTAACAAACATAAGCTGTAAAACACTACATACACCATGCTTATTTTTGTACTGAAAAACAAGCTATGCTACAAAAATTTCCCATTATCTTTTGAACTAATTAAGCTGCCAAAAGTTCCCACTGTTTCCCCCCCCCCTGAAAAAAAGAATAAATTTGTATGACTAAGTTGGACTGATGTGAAACATTAGAGATAGTCTAGCCTTAACAGACTGACTGCTCCTTAAGATTCTTCTCAATGGTTCTCTCCAGTTGAGGAAAGGATGAGCACTAACAATCTGATTAAGAGCTAAAACTGCCGCTCAGTTCTTTAAAATGTTCCAATGAATAATTAATAGCAAATGCATTGTTCTCTGGCTTTCCTTACAACAACATTCTCATGTAGAATTGAAAGTGATGGTTGCAATAAAATCTGGCATCTGATAGTAAGCACAGGTGGGAACAGGAAGGCATATCCAAGATACTCTAACAGGGATACCCGTCAGATCTGGAGACAGAATTTAAAAACCTTCGTGGCAAACCTTACATCAAGAATTACAACATTTATAAATTAATGCGAAACCAAATCTGTGCGTAAATTTAAAACGCCAAAACCATCATCTTTGTTCTTCTACACACTGTCCCTTTCTACCCTAACTATATTCCTTCCTTTCCCTTTGTGACGTGGAATTTTATTGATCCCAAACATGCTCACATTCAGATCAGTCTCGACCGGATGCCTGGCCACCTAGATCCTACACATCATACACATCTTTAACTCACAAGCTTTGAAAACATCACCATTTGATCACTATCATATCAAGTTAACCAGGCTCTCTTCTAAACAGACTTTTCCTTTTAACTGGCTTAAAAGAAAGAAAGAAACTAAAGATGTACTGAATTAACGATGAATGTTTAATGAATGTATAAGGTTATGAAGAACCAAATCCAACTCAAGATTTCTCTTCTGTGCCTTCCCATTCATTCACCATTACCTCGGTGACCTATTTTCAAGTTGCTTTACCCACACCTGCCAGGTCACTGTCCTGATTGAGAAACTTCTTGCCAAAGCAATTAATTTTTAGGGCCTCCTAACTGTTCCCAGTGTTTGCATTCAATCTGAAATCTGTTACTTGTTAGACACTGTTCGGGTCCTAGATCTTCCAGAGAATTGCGCGTTTATGGCGCAGAGAGGGGAGGAGGCAGGAATCTCTGAGAGCCTGCCCTTTATTCGGAAATGAGGAGATGTGAAAGGTGGAAGGCAGGGCAAATAAATAAATAAATCGAGTTTGCCGCGGGAGCGTTTGCCCGCCGCAACGAGCACCCTTTGTAATGCAGGCCTCCCGGGGCTATCGCCTGCGCTAATTGCTCCAGGGCGCTTTCCAAGTTCAAAAGTTCACCTTTTACGACCTCACAAAAGCTCCTTACACTTTACCAATAAAAACATTCCGCCGCAAACACCGAAGGTGGGGGGGGAGAGATATCAAACAGAAACAAATAAAACATTGAGCCAAGGAGGGAGCGGGAGCAAACACCCGAGGAACCTGAGGACTGGGCTGGCGAGGGGACGCAAGCGGCCAGGCCAGGTGAGGAATTCTCAGCACCCCGGAAGAGTTAGGCTGGGCGGCGCGGTAAGTGTCCGGCAAACACCGGGAAAAGGCAGGTGTTCTGGAGCCCCAGGATCCCGCTGGAGACCTGAGCCAGCAGAAAGTCGTCGTCTAGAAGGAGCCTGGGTAAAGGAAGGCCAGGGGGACAGGAGCGAGCACCGAGGTCCGAGGATGACCATTACCGGTGTGCCCAGAGGCGGAGGCTCACGGGGCTGGGAGGAAGCGTGGGACTGCAGAGGAGGAAAACGCTCCTGGATAGGTGCAGGGTGCAAAGGTGTGGCGTCTGTGAGCTCCCGGGTGAAGGAAGAGGGTGCCCTGTGCACCAGGGCCTCCTGGGGGAGGAGAAAGGATTGGCGCAGAGGGGACGGGGGGGGGGGGGAGGGTCCGAGCTGAGGGGACCCGAGACCCTGCCTAGAGAGTGCGAGCCCAGGGTGGAGTCCACACTGCGGAGCTGCCCTACATCCCGGAGCTAGAGTCAGCTTAGAGAAAGCGGAGGTCCCGGGCGGTGGGGCCGCCCGGGCTCAGAAGGGCCCTTACCCACCGTTGCGCGGCGGCGGAGGGAGCGCGGCGGGCGGCTCCAGGAACCCCGCCGAGCCCCCGCCGCCTCCCCCTCCGCTAGGTGGCCGTTCGTCCCGCTCCATGCGGCGGTGCTCAGGGCCCTCGCTGGCTTCGCTGCTCCGCCATGACTTGCGCCCTCGTAGTCGTCGTCCTGGTCTTCCACCGGGGGGAGGGGGCTGTCAGGGGCCGGCAAGCTCTCGGCCGCCGCACACTCTGGGCCCCTGAGCCGCCCGGCTCCGCGCCCCTCCGCGCCGCGCCCCCTCAGCACTGGCCAGCTCCCTCCTCTGACGTCACGCGCCGCTGCCACGCACATGCCCGTAGGGAATGCTAGGAAATGTAGTCCTCCCAGAGAGGCCGGCCACACGGGACTCTACCAATTGAAGGGGTGAAGGAAAAAAATAGGAAGACCTGAGTAGGGAAGAATCCAAACCTATCGTCATTACGTACTCTAATAAAATGTCTAATGTATCTATATAATAAAAAATCATGTTACATTTTTCTCTTTATTATAACTTATCCGTGTTCACAGTTTCCTGTGATTCTAACTGTCTCCCCGCATTAATAATGAACCTTTCCAAGGAGGTGGATCCACCGAGAACCCGGTGAGCACGTGCAACCAAGCCCAGCCCTGTCGGGGGGAGGCCCCAGGGGGCGGGGTTTGTAGGTACTCATGAGGGCTTTCCTCCCGGGCTGAGCGACAAATTGGACCAGAGATTAAAGGACCCGAGTTTAACCCGAGGTGACTGCGTTCGTATGCAAATAGAATCTATACAACTCTGCTTTCCGGAGAAGTGTTTAAAGCCCTTTACCTCCGGGTGGGCGGGAGACATTAAAGTTTCTCTTCCTCCTCTTTCATTCCTCGCACCCTGCCCATAGAACAGATGGACAAACTAAGATCAGTTCCATTGATGCCAGAAAAAAAAAAAAAAAAAAAAAACCTTGGGACTCCTGATTCCGTGTGTCTTAAAGAGCTCTGTTTTAAGAGTGTCCCTTTTCCCGGAGTGTTCTCCTTCCCACCTCTGTTCAGTTTACCTGTCTGAAAAATGAGAGTTGTAATAAGGACCAGGTCCAGTGGTAAGAGGCCAACTCTCACATACACACTTTCGCCTCAGTTTACCGAAGTTCCCACCAAATAAAATCCTGGATTTTCTCCCCTTCCTCCTCCAGGGCCCACCTTCCACTGCCACCAGGTGGCGCGCGGCCACGGCCCCTCAGGACCAGATGTGGTGGCGGTTTTCAGTGATGCGGTCCCCCACAGGCATCCCCGCTACCCCACCCGCTGCTCGCGCTCTCCCTCTCCCTCTCCC